GAGGAAAAATGATAAAGCAAATGGGACTCAGATTTTGGTTGGCCATGTGGGAGCCCAACACCTCAACCGCCATGCCATCTGCTGGCCTCCTACAGGTCACTTTTATTAATGTAAAGGCAGAAAAAGAAAATATCACAAAGGTCTAATGCCTCTGAACATTTTTCATGTGTAAAAGATTCAGAAGGGGCAGATGGTGGCACATCAGTAAAATGTGATGTTCTATGAGACTGACCCTCCTGGGAAGGCTCTGTGTTAAAGTCTGGAGACTTCCTTGAGTGCACTAGACACATGTTTGTCCCCAATCTGGAGCTGACTGAAGGCTGGTGGTACATCATTAGGACCCTACTGAGGCTCTGCTCATGTGCTTTCTCTCTTCTCTTATTCATGGAGGAAATAAATGAATACATTTTTTTCTAAAGGACTCAGGAGATGTGCAACAATTATGACATAATTAAAATATACACATATGCATAGTATGAAAAATAAACACCTGCCTTTTAAACAATAGAGTGTGTGTGCTCACCAGAGACAGACAGAGAGGGAAAGTGAGAAGTCACCCCCAAGGGGGATGGCCACACCATAAGCTCTTTTCCTCTAGTTTTCTTGAGATTTCAGGCATGCATGCACACACACTTGGTGTGATTTTCAAGATGCCGGGTCTGGGACTCAAAATGTGGTCAGCTATGTGGAAATATAGTGCCTTAACACCACCACCACCACCTGCTGGCCCCATAATTTCCTTTTTATTCATTTTTATTTTTATTTTTTTAGAAAGATTTCTGCTATAGGGCATGTGTGTTTACCAAAGAGACAGAGAGACAGAAAGCAAGAAATCATCCCCCCCCCAGGGGGGATGGTAACACTGTAATCCCTTCTCCAATCGCCTGGGATTTTAGGCATGCATGCACACACATCTAGCATGAGTTTTAAGCTGCTGGGTTGGGTACTTGAAATGTGATTGACTACGTGGGAGACCGGTGACATAACCGTTACACCATCTGCTGGTCCCATAATTTCCATTTTAAACTTCCAAAATTATAGTAGTCTTCAAAGACCCAGCTCAAATATTAATTCCTCTAGCAAGCCAGTCAAAATTTCCACTAAGTTTTCATTTTTCTTATATTTTTAAGTTCTTGGTTTTTTTCCTTACATATTTACAGCTGTCATCTTCTTTATATATTGTCTTCCTCATTAAATTATTGGTTATTTGAAAGTAGGAGACCATTTGCTATTCATTATTTCCATACCACTTTTTTTTTTTTTTAGGTTTCTGCCACAGAGTGCATGTGCTCACCAGAGAGAGAGAGAGAGAGAGAGATATGACAGAGAGCTGGAAAGAGGGAAAGTGAGAAACAGCCTCCCAAGGGGGAATGGCCACACCATAATCCCTTCTCCTCCATTGTTTTCTCAGAGTTTTGGGCACACACATACATACCAAGTATGATTTTCAAGCCACCAGGTCCAGAACTTGATCCATGGTTGGCCATATGGAATCAAGTGCTTTAATCACCATTCCACCTGTTGGCCCTCATATAACATTGTGAATAAAGTTGGTACAGAGACTTGACTTTGGACCTTTATACCATGAGCTATGTACTGTTTTGTTCTTTTCTTTTTTTAAGGTTATTTTATTTATTCCATGGAAGAAAAAAGAAAGGCACAGGAATCCCCAACAGGGTCTTCATCCTACAATCCAACTCCAGCTTCAGCATATGCTTGGCATGTATAAAAGACCTCTAGATGTGAACAAGGATCTCCCCACATGAATCCAGAATCACAGAGCGTTATATTGCAAGCACACTATCTCTGCCAGCCCAGCCTCTATTCATTATAAATTAGCCAGACTCAGGTGTTCTGTTATTAGCAACAGAGAGTGGTCTAAAACATATTATTTTTATTCTAGTAGTATGATAGTTAATTATTTTCCTTTAATCATGGGGCTTGTGCACTCACTGGAGAGAAATAGACAGAGGAAAAGTGAGAAATCACCACAACCCACCCCCTGCCCCAGGGTGGATGGCCATGCCACAATCCCTTCTGTCCATTCACTTCTCAGGATTTGGGGTATGCATACCCACATGCCTAGCCTGATTTTTGAAACCTCTGGGTCTGGGACTCAAACTGTGGTCAGTCATGGGTACATTCAGGGCCTTAACCAAAATGCTACTTGCTGGCCCCAACAGTTAATTCTTAATAGCATGGTATATTTAGTTTATTCTACATTCTAGGGATTCTTTCTCTTCCACAGACCAATTAATATGCATATAACAACAGAGAGGAAAACTCATTGTGTTGAATATTTTATATTAAATACAATCCATTTTTACCAACTTTTGTTCTGGACAAGTACTAAAATGTATTTGAGAATGAAAAACAGATGCTTAATAATAAATTAAAATGGGTTTGGAAATGGAAACCATTATGATGTAACTTAAAATATCAAATAGTTATAACTATATGAAACCTGAAACTACTAATGCTTTTAACAGTTCTCAATTTATAATTTTCTTTTCTTTTTTTTCTTTTTTTTCTTTTTTTTGGAGAGATTTTCGCTATAGGGCGCATGTGCTTGCCAGAAAGACAGAGAGAGACACAGAGACAGAAAGCGAGAAATCACCCCCCAGGGGGATGGTCATGCCGCAATCCCTTCTCCTCCATTCTCCTTTCGGGATCTTGGGCACGCACACACATGTGCCCAGCGTGAGTTTTAAGCCACCGGGTCCGGGACGCAAACCGCAGGTCAACTATGTGGGAGTCCAGCAACATAGCCATTACGCTAACTGCTGGTTCCCTCAATTTGTAATTTTTGTTCTTGATTAGTCTCCATTAAAAAGATGACTTATTTTAAACCCCTTTAATATTTCCTAATATATTAGAACTGTGAAAGGCAGTTCTATGTCTATTGGACAAATGATTGGTACTAGAATTTTCAGTAACAATTATTTGACAGTATGGTTATGGTGAACAGAAATCAGAGCTATATATTTAGTTCTATAACCAAATGCTTTTTATACATTTAGCTTGGAAAATTTTGAGCCTATATAAACTTTCCTATATTGAAAGAACTTCCACCCCAAGATAAACAGCATATCACTACCTTCTGTGAAATAGCAATTTTTACTTCTCCTTGGAGTGCTTCAATTTGCTTTTTCTTCTTTTCAGTTGATTGCTTTAATTCATTTATGGTCCCTTGAAGTTGTTCCCCTTCTTTTTCCTTTTGTTTTAAAGTATTATGGGCTTGCATGATTTGTCCCTGCATTGAATTGAGTTCTGACTTCAATTGATGAGAAGTCTAAAAAAAAAAAAGAAAAGAAAGAAAGAAAAAAGCCTGATTAGCATTCCTTTATTCATTCAAAAGACATCTACTGAATCTACCTGCTGTACTCTATCCAAGTAGAAACTACTGAGTCAATTGGTCCAAGTAATCAGAAGGTTTATTTTTAACACTTTGCCATATTTACTTTATTGTCTTGACAAATTCCTTCCCTGAAACATTTGAAAGTTACCAACATCATGACATTTCCATCCTGCATATTTCAGTATCAGTATGCTCAGAACAATGACATACTCTTGATAACCATGACATCATGATCACATCCAAGACTCTTAATAGTGTTACAATAACATCATCTGATATCGAGTCCACATTGAAATTTCCCTTAGCATCCAACATTATTTTTTATAAGCTGCTTTATGGGTTATTTAGATCCACAGTATAATTAGGACCATTCCAGGACACTGTTCACTTCTACAATTCTGTTCCTGCATACAGATGTTTATAGGCCTAGCCCAATATCCAACCAGGAACCAAGAACTGAGGCATTACAGCACAGAGATGTAGGCTGGGCAGGCGTACAGGCTTACCATCTAAGTTCAAATCTCTACGTTGCTATTTCCCAGCTACGTGACCTTGGGAATACAACCATGTGACTCTTGTGTCACAGAAACTAGGAAAGTCAACATCAATGTCTAGACTGCTGGAATGTCTATTGTTTTTCAAGAACATTTTCAAATGCTTGTAAGCCTGTTGGCCACAGGAATCCAGAAAGCTCTATATTAGCTGTGATAAATCTAAAATCGCTTCTGACAAAAATGAGAAGACTTCAAAAAGTTCATGCAGAAAATGAAATTAAAGTATGAGTTTAACACACACACACAAATACAGAAATCCATGGACAATTTTTTTCATGGATTTAAAATTATGTATAATACACATTTTCCATGAACTTTCTGAAGACCCCCCCCCCTTGTATGTTTAGTATCTGTCTGGTAACACTACATACAGTGCACAATATTTACCTCATTTAGAGGTCTAGGACATATTTTGCCACTACTTTGTTTTTACAGTCTACCAGAATATGTTTTTTGTTCAAAATTATAGATCATTTAGAAGTCTTACTGAAGTTCCTCTGTGGCCAAGTTGATTTACAACTATTGGGTAGTCAGGAAAGTCATGACACATTTTTGCATATAAAAACAGAAAAAAAAATCATGACTTTCCCAACAACCTACTATTTCATGCCTTTTCAGCCAAAGTCATGTTTTCAAGTTTTATGCATAACAATATAATAGAACCTAGCATTATATTTGAGCTTTTGGCCATATTCAAAGTTACTTACTTATTTTTTTAGGTGTTTGTTTGTTTGTTTGTTTGTCATATGGCATGTGTGTTCATCAGAAAGACAGAGAGAGAAAGTAAGAAATCATCCCCCAGAGGGGATGGCTACACTGCAGTCCCTTCTCCTTTTGAGATTCTGGGTACACACAGGCACAGCATGATATTCAAGCCACTGGGTCCAGGACTCAAACTGCAGTCAGCCATGTGGAAATCTAGTGCTTTAACCACATACCACCAACTGGAGATACATAGATAGATAGATTTTTTTTTTTTTAATCTGTCAGAGTGCGTATGCACTTGCTGGAGAGGGACAAAGAGAGAGGAAAAGTGAGAAAAGAACACCCCCGCTTAGGGCATGGTCACATCACAATCTCTTTTCCTTTCTCCCTTTTTTAGAATTTTGGGCATGCACACACATGCACTCCATGTATTCTCAAACTGCCGAGTCTGGGACTCAAACCATAGAGTACGCCATGTGAGATCCAGCCGCTTTAACTACCAGGCTACAGGCTGGGCACCAAGGTACTTTTGAAAAAGTTTCACTGCACCATACGGATACCTTAGCTTATCTCCAATGTACATGTATCAAACTATTTTGGGGCAAAACAGGAGTCAAACAGTATAACAAAAAGTGATTATGTTAGGATAATCAATGATAAAATAACAGCTAACATAAACATTTACTTTGCTATATTCAGTGTTCTGACTTCTTTAACTGGGTTAATTGATTTATTTCTCACAGTAATTTTATAACAGATTCTACTATTAGCCCTGTTTTACTGCTGAGGAAATTGGTGTACACAGAGATTAAGTTAATCTATCTAAAACATGGTAAAACAAACAAAAAATTAAATTAGTAAAATTATAAAAAACTTTTAGTTAAAAAATAAATAAAACATGACAAAATGGCATAGTTAATAAATGGCATAGCCAGGATATAAATTGGGACAATCTTGATTCAGCACTTAGGCAATAAGCTGCTATAATTTTGCCACTTACGTGATTGGCATCTATAGCACAAGTGTTTTCTCTCAATCAACAATCAGAATATAATCACATCAAACACTTGTCAGAGTCAACTCAGGTTTATTTAGAAAGCTGCATGCCTGAACTCTAGCTGCTCACAGGTATGTCCTCAGAAATAAACAGTGATATAGTATACTCATTTATTTATTCATTTGCTAATTTGCTTTTGCTGAAGAGCAATAGAGGCATCTCTTGGTCATTACATAACCATTATCAAATATACCATTAATATAAATATCTATGATAGTCAATTCTGTGAAGCCAGCCAGTGGTGTAATGGTTAAGGCGTCTGGATTCCACATGATTGACTGCATGGTTCTGGTCTGGACCCACAAGCTTAAAAACATGTCAGGCATTTGTGAGAGTTCTCTCAAAAAGAGAATGGAGGAGAAGGAATTGTGATGTGGTTGTCCCCTGACCTCCACTTGGGGGAGGGAGTGCTTTCTCACTTTCGCTCTCTTTCTCTTTCCAATGAGTGCATGTACCCAATAGCAAATCAGAATGGAAAAAAAGAAAATTTTTATGTTAAGTTGATCAATATATTTTCTCTAACCATGTGTTCCTTAAGCTCAATTATCTAATTATAACCCTATAGTGGGTTGACTTAATTTTCTATTTTAATTATACTCTTTTAATTGGGCCTTTTATTAAAAACTAACTTAAATCCTTTTAGTTATAAACAAAAATAACAAAAATTATGAATATGATCCACTACATTTCAGAGAAATAAACCTCCCTTTGACCTAAGTATTAGTGTGAAAATATTTGGAAAATACAAAAATCTTATTATGCCTTATTTACTTTATGCTATAGAAAAAGTAAAGTCTTACCTCCTTCTCTTTTTCTAGCATTTTTTTTAGTTCATTCTGTTCTTTAAGCGTGCTTTCTGTCTGTACTTGAAGTTGATGCTTTAATTCTTTGCAAGTTTTTTCCTAAAAAAATGAAAATATTACATAGAAAATATTTGTAGTAACTTTAAGAAATCTGATTTATAAGCTTGGTAAGATATATACAAGGAAATAGACTAAAATAATTGATGAGGTAAGAGGTATAGAATTATCCATTTCAATGATAAAAACAGGCAAATATTATAGAAGAATGAAGAGCAAAATGCTCACAATTTCTATCAACATCTAATAAAATATTTAGACAATCTTTAAACAATATTTTAGAATACTTTAGAAACAATACTTTTAGGTCAAAGAATTAATTATAAGTATTTTATTTATCATAGGACAACAGGCTTCATGAAAATGGAAGCAAAAAAAATAAAGAAGATACTAAAACAACAAATTTAAAAATAATCACAATATAACTTAGGAGAGAAGGTGTGCATACAAAAAATGTTTTCTCCAAACAGAAAGGAACATAGAGATAACATATAACATAATTTTATACCACTAAGCACTTTCACTGACCTTCAGAGAAGTTTAATTTCTGCTATTACTTTGTGTTATTCTGGGTTAAAATACTCCTAAGAATACATTCCTTTAAGTATTTCTTGAGACTCTGTGCTACTGTTTTCTTTCAATGTTTTAATGGTATCTCTAAATATAGTGTTACCTGGAGTTTTAGAATATCCGATCAAGAATCAGAAAGTACAAAGTATCAGAATTTAAAAAGTAGATGGGACCAGCAGTTAGTGTAATGACTATGTCGCTGGACTCCCACGTAGTCGACCGCGGTTCAAGTCCCAGACCTGGTGGCTTAAACTCATGCCAGGCACGTGTGTGTGCGTGCCCAAGATCCCAAGAGGAGAATAGAGGAGAAATAATTGTGGCATGGCCTTCCTCCCTGTGGGGTGATTTCTTGCTTTCTGTGTCTCTGTCTGTCTCTGTCTTTCTGGTGAGCGCACAAGCCCTATAGCAAAAACCTCTCCCAAAAAAAAAGAATTTAAAATGTAGATCTTTCTGATCTTTTTTCAGGAAAGCAAATAATGTTTCAACTAGTAGCTGTATTGTCTACAACTAGTAGCTATACCTAAGAACATCATGACAGTAATAGAAAAAGGTTGCTATTTTCAACTGAAAATATCTTTGGGCCTTAAAAAACTGGATACTTATGCACACACAAACATACCCCAATATCTTGGTCTACCTTTTACTGAAATTAAACAATTCCAATTTCTTTCCTCATAAAAACTATTTTAAATCATATAAATGTGGGCTGAAAAGTCAACTAAACTAAGCAGAAAAATCAGCACATTTTATATAAAATAATCAGTTCTATCTAAGAAAGTAAATGTAAACAACTAACCAAATCTAATATAGCAGCTTTCCCTTTCTGATTCTCCTTTTCAAATTCACTTCTGGAGTTTTTCAAAGAATCAGAAACTTTTGATAATTTCTCTTTCACTGTAGAAAGCTCTGTCATTAGAGTTTCTTTCTCCATCTTCACATTTTGTAGTTCTGTTTCTGTTGTTCGAATTTTGTTATTTAATTCCTTGTGCTGCATCCTTAAATTTTCAATTTCTTGTTTCAGGCTTGTTTTTTCTTCCTCCTGCTTAGAAAGCATTTGCTTACTATTTTCAAGGGCTTCAGATTTTTTCTGTAGATCCAATTTTGTACTGGATACTCTAAATATTGAAGAAATAATTTTAAAAATACATTATTTACATTCTTAATTAATTTACCTATTTACCACTGAAAATCATAAACAATTATTTCATATTGAACTTTCTCATAGAGCTCATTAGTAAAAATAATTTAATTTCATAAAATCATGAAATTTTAAAATGCCTTAGAATATCTGATGTGAGCACTTAATAAATATAGATATTCCTCAAGCCAAATAAGTTAGTAGCAAAGTCCAAACCATCTAAACCTTCTGACTTAATCCAGTCTCATCTACCACAACAGTTCCCCCCCACCAAGCCTCTGCATATCACAGACCTTCTTAGTCTATAATAGCCACAAAAGTTTTTCTATATACTCTCTAAAGAATCTATTTATGGGCCAACTCCATGGTACAACAGTAATGTACTGCTCTAGAGAAGCTATATTCCACACAGCGACTACAATTCAAATTCCCGGCTGGGTCAGCCTGAAACATTCTGGACATGTGTGAGTGCCCAAGATCCAACAGACTGGACAAGGAAAATGATGATCATAGCGTGACCAGACCCTGGGAAGGTGTTCTTGCCTCCTTTTCCTTCCCTCCCTTCTCCTTCCTTCCTCTCTCTTTTATGTGCAGGCACATAAAGTATATCATGAATAAAGAAAAAAAATCTTCTTAAATAGGTAGTATTGAAATTCCAAAGATATATATATATATTTTTTTTTAAATTAATTGCGTTAGTTCTCAAGCACATAGAGGCTTCTTTCCTTGAAAATACAAAACACTGCGTTTCCAGCAGGCCGAGGGGTCTCGCGCCATGGCCTGTTGGGCCCCACAGCATGCCCAGCAGACGGCCTGGCCCTAGCTGCCCTGGCTGAGCTGCACCTGGAAGCTCCTTCGGTTCCCTTCGGCTACCCTGGTCCGCATCCTGCCCCTTCCTGAAGCTGGGCCTGAGGCCCACAGGATGTAGAGTCCACCAACGCCCGGAAGCCCGGATTTGTGTCTGGGAGAGAAACCGGAAGTGCCTTGCTCAGGCCAAGGGGTGGCGCCGCCGGCTGCTTGCTGCCTGAGTAGTTCTGGACTAGAGAACTCTTGGAACCACAAGAAAGTCTTGAATCTAACTTAATGGTGATTGGTATCTTCTGAGATAAATCAAATTCTCAGGACTAGGAAGTGAATGCTGCTTTTCTGTCTAGATTCTAGGATTGGAAATACCACATAAGGAATTAATGAATATGATGCTGAAAATTTTTGAAGGTGAATTGCTTATGACAGAAAGTCCTGAAACATATGGCTCTCCCAAGTTCTTATCAAAAAAATTACTGTGATGACAATGATGGGTCAAGAAGACCAGTGGAAAACATTGTAGGAGAGAGCCATAGAAAATGTACACTTCAGAAGAAAGATGTAACCAGAGAACTCAAAAGAGAAAAATATATCAGGTATGCCCTCACAAGGATAAAAAGATTTTTATTCATATGCATGAAATTTCCCAAAAAGGTGATCAGATATGTCAGTGCCTTGAAAACAAGCAAAACTTCTGTGAAAACCTATCTCTTATTATGTGTGAGAGAACCCATACTGGGGAGAAATCTTATAGATGTGATATATGTGAGAAAACCTTCATCCAAAGCTCAGATCTTATTTCACATTAGAGGATTCACAACTATGAGAAACCTTATAAATATAGCAAATCTGAGAAAAGCTTTTGGCATCACTTAACCCTTTCAGGACACCAGAGAACACATGAAGGTAAAAATGTCTATACGTGTGATCTTTCTGGCCAGCGCACTTGTCTTATAGCAAAAAAAAAAAAAAAAATCCCCACAAACAAACAAACAAAAAAACCTCTCCAGAAAAAAAAGAGGATCATGACATGAAGAGTCCCTGTCAAAAATAGATAAAAACAAAACCTAGGGCTGGCCTCACAGTCCAGTGGTTAAGAGAGCCATATCACACATGACTGACTGAAGCTTGAAAAGCACCCCAGTCATGTATGTGCATGCCCCAAATCCTAACAGGATAAATAAATGGAGAAGGGATTTTGCGCCACGATCATACCCCATCAGAGGGTACTTTCTCTCTATCTCTGGTGAGTAAACATGCTCTCTGGCAATTAAAAAAAAAAAATAACGAAAAAAACCTCTCTCTATCCCTCTCTTCTCTCTTTTCTACAATAAAAGAGTAGCAATAATAAAAGTTATCTTAAGTGAAAAAAGCTAGTAACAAAAATGAACATAATGTATGATTCCATTTATAAGAAGTTCAACAATACACAAAATTAATCTATGGAGACTGAAATCAAAACTGATTATCTATAGACATAGAGTAACTTATTTACTAGAAGGACTAAAGAACATATGTGGAAACTCCAGGCAGTAGGAAGAAGCAATGGTTACACACTATACAGTTATTAAAGCTCAAATTGCAGATGTAACAGCTGTGTATTTATGCATAAATTTTAACTCAATAATAACAAAAGGTACACTGATTGTGTTGTTTCCTTTGAGCTCATAAACATAGACAATCTGCCAAAATACATCACGAAACTGATAAAGATCATTTATTATTTCCTACCTGGTATAGTGCCTCCAAGCAGAAGCCTGACTGCTCTTGGATGATACATATAAACACTTCCATATTTTAAAATTTCACATTAATTAAAGTAGGTGAACAACCCAAAGCTATTGCTTTATCCCAGAGATATAAATACCATATTATTGTTGAAAGATGACCCAATTTTATAACAGTAAGTTTTCAGTTTTTTCTAGTGAACTTTAACTATATTATGATGGCTCTATTTTCATTAACATCAGCAGTTTATAAAATCAACACAAAATAAGCATTTAATAAACCTTTAACCATTGTAATAACAAAAACAAATTATAAGAATTTTTAATACTTAGTTTATAGTAGATCTCTCCCTTAATTTATAAGTGAAGTAGTTTAGCTTACATTTCTTTCTCCATTTCAAGTTGTTTAGTTAGCTCTGCGGCCCTAAGCTCTAAATCCGCATTCAGTTGTCTTTGCTGTTGTAGATCCTGCAAACCTTGATCCTTGCTTGCTTTCACTTCAAAATTGTCATATTCTAGTTTCTGTCAGAGAAATACAATATAGCAACCAGTTCAAAGTTAATAATTACCAATCAATTATTATATATTATAACATTGTTTACATTCACATTGGTGTTGACATACACCATAATAACTGTAAAATATTTACGTTAGAATAAAAAATACATTCCAAAATCATTATTGAGTAAGGGAGTTAGCTTAGAATCTTTCAGAGGACATAGTATAAGGCTTTACACATGAGTAAAAGTTATTAACTCAAGTATGAAAGAAGTTAATCATAGGTTCATCCACTTAAAACATATTACCCTTTATATTCACAGTTAATAACTCATATGTAATTAGAAGATATTTAAAACTAAAATGGAGTTGTCATATATTCTCCTCACTATCACCTACTGACCCTAAACATAAAGCAAATTGATTTTGCTTCTTTAATCTCCTGGTCTAAATGGTATTGTTTTTCATAGTGTGGTATACATATGAGACTTTAAAAAATTCATGGCAAATGGAATTAAAGTACAAGTTTTTATTGATCAAAAAAAATTGAAATCCTGCATAGTTTTTCATAGTATGCGTTTCTATGAACATTCTAAAGACACCTTCTTTTATACATAAGATTGTGTGCATATTTCTAAAAGTTTACAAAATCAAACGGTTAACATACAAGGAAAGCATTCATTTGAGTGGTTGTAATTACTTTGTATGCTAAATATTTTATAAACTGATTAGTATCTGTGGCTCTTGCTCTATATTTACACTGAAAATATTCATGAAAAATTATTTTATATGATTAAATTAATTCTACAGTGAACTGCTTATATAAATAATAAGGAATACCTCTTACCATAATTACAAAATCTTATAAAGCTGATAATCACATTAGGCACTCTCAACTCTAAATAACAACTATGTTAAAAAGGTATCCAAATCTCATTAGACTCTTTGGTAAAATAGCATTTCTGTTCTTTTCTACCATATCAAAAGTAAATTGTCATTACTATTATTTTCACCAAAAAGAAAATGGAATCCCTAAGTAGAATTGTAAATGTAATTCTTCTCCTATATTATACACTATATATGAGTCTACAATCATATATGTGTGCTTCACCTGAGTATAGAAGTATAAGTTAATATATAACTTGAGAAATTTTGTGGAAGTATAATTTAATATGTAACATGATAAATTTTGTTGAACTGGTAGTAGTTCTAGGTTAAATGACAAATGACTCAAATCCTTCTTTAATATGTCAAGTCATTTCACCTTATGTTAATGATGCAGTTAAAGATGCAGTTTACCACATGCTAAATATATTAGTAATAGTTAGAAGAAAAATGAAAGAGTATAAATGTAAAGTTTTCAAAGGAAAAAGTCAATCATATCTGAAATATTACATTGGACTAAGGAGGTAAGGAGATGGAAGAATGAAGAAAACAGAAGAGACTTAACAGAAAATTAGTTTAAGTTTTTTGTAATTATAGAGTAGATCCTTAGACTCTTAGAAATAAATATACATAATTGGAATCTGTATATACATTAACCACCATTTATAAAATTTACCCATTATTGAAGAAATTTAAAATATAGATGGAAATCAAAATGAAGACAGGAAAAATAAGGGTTTTTACAATTTTATAACACAAATTCACTTTTCTTTGTTACTTAGAAATCTTTGATTCCCTGTAAGTCATCTGATTCTCTTGCTAGTAGAGTAGAAAATATGACAAAACGCAACTTCTTTTATACAAACCTTAATTTGCCCTTCCAGCTCTTCAATTTTCTGTTCTAAAGAGAGGTGTTTCTCTTTATATTCTTTAAGATGACTTTCCAGCTGACTGCAATGGTCTTGTCTATCTTGTAACTTTGCAGTGACCTGATCCAACTGAGTAGTGATCTTATTTAACTCCTACAGAAAAGTACAGTTGAAGAAAACTTTGATAAGGTTCACTCTAGCACAGTACACTCTCCACCAAAAGACTATTCAAATTAATATGGAAAACTTTAATTTTACTTAAGAAAATATTTAGAATAAGACCTCAGATATGTCTAATCATATTAATATATAGTGGCTATATTTACCTGCCAATATAAAGACCTGAAGTTTTGTGTAGTCTAAAATGTAAGTTCATATCAATCTAAATATTTTTTCAAGATTTTCTTGGATGTTATTTTAGGAGCCAAAAGATACAACAGAATATTAAATAAATAAAAATAAAACAATACTTTTATATCATAATTTAATGTTCTCAATATTTAAGACACCATTTTAAAATATTATTTAAAAAATATTACAGTGATTATATATACAATACTTGTTCAAATCATTTAGAATATTCACTACTGCACAAAAAGAACAAAATAAAAACTAATAAATCTGCCATCTACAGATAATCATTGTTAATGTTTTGCTAATTCTCCTTCCAGTCTTTCCTCTACACTAGTTTCTATATATTTCCTTTGTACTTTTAAAATAAAAACAGGATCTTACTTTCCATATTATTTTATTTTAACCTTTGTTTTTACATAAGAGTATATCCTATTTCCCAATATTATTTTCTAAAATATTATACCCAACTGCATAAATTTCCATTTTATTGATATAGTCCTATTTTTTGGCCAAATCTCCCACTAAAAATTTTAAGATTGGTACTAAATATTTTGTATTTATTAACAGAGATGCAAAGAAATCTTTAAAGCTATGTTTATTCCTTTAGGAAGAAAGATTGTACATGAGCTAAGGAGTATGAAAAATGATGAAGTTCTTGAAATATACTACAAAACGACTCCTTCCCTCTTCCCACCCAAAAGGTTGAATTAATGTATACTACTACTAGCAATTTTTAAAGTAGTTTGTTCTTCCATAACCTCTCCAATTCTCTCACTGGTGATTAAATATATATACAGTTTCCCTCAATAAGGGCAAATATATCCCATTATTGTCTTAATTTGCAATTGATTCTTAATAACATTTCCTAATATAGTTTAATCATTTACATTTTCTTGCAGGTTCATTTATTACTTATGTTAAAAGCACATGAAACAAGAAGGATATTGAGTCTTTGTTTGATACATTCCAGAAAACATTTTATCTTTTTTGTTATTTGTTTTAGAATTTTGTAAAGACTATTTTTGATAAACAAATTTAAAAATTTTATGGTTATTCTTATAAGTATAGTTTTTGACTCTGATCTCATGTTTACAAAATACTTTCCAGGTGTGTTTAGCAATACCATAAGTAAAAAGCAAGCTGCATAACCACTTGTTTATATGAATCAACGTGCATAAAATAAAAGTATCAGTGTATATACATATATATTTGCTTGTTTAGTTTCAGTATCTAGAAGGACATACACCAAATTTACCAGCTAATATTACATCCAAGAAGAAAAATTATATTGGGGTAACAGGTAAATATAAAATATTTTTTAAACACTATATACTTCTCTATTATTTTTTTAAATGGACCAATAACCAGTATTACTTTTTGTATAACAAGTAAATGTTTGAAATTCCTACATGCTAAATGGTAAAAAACAAACAAACTACCAGCACTTTGATATTATACCTAAAGTAGGAGGCTTTTATTCTATCGAATCAAGTGAGAAAAATAACTGTTATATCCCTTCTTGACCATGACTTTCTCCTACCCCCAAGAAAATGAGTAACTCCATCTGGGTCATGGCCCACCCTCCCACTGAAAGTGTGAAGGTCTCTCCCTCTCTCTCTCCCAATCATTGGTTTGATGAGATGAGGCAACAATTCAACAATTAGAAATAAATGTTTCAATTCCATACCAGTGCTAAAGCAAGGGGAGAAATACAATATTAGGAAGCTGAACCATAGCTGCATACTTAAGAGTCATTTTTAAAATGCTGATATTTTTAATCTCCATCTGTCTGACTCTTCATCTACTACTCAATTGGTTTAGAAACTAAGGCAGAAATTAAGGGAAATATGCAAAGTCTATCAGAAAATTATATAAAATTAGATGCCACTTTTAAACATTTGCAACTAATTTATTTATTGAGCACTAGACTTTGATATAAAATTGCACCAGGTTCCCTACCTGCTGTTTATCTTGTAATGCATTTTGAGCTGTGTCCAAATGATTCTGAAGATCAGCTCTTTGAGCAGTTTTTGCTGCTTCTGCTGATAGCAATAATTCAGTTTTGGCTTTAATCTGTAGCAAAAAATTACAAGTTATTTAATTCATATGTAGTTCTTGATTTCCCCTTGTTTGAATGCACATTACTTTTGTCACTAAACTATTTTTACAAATTAAGTATTGGGACCAGCAGGTGGTGTGGTGGTTGAGGCAGTAGATTCCCCACTTGGCCAACCATGGTTCCAGTCCCAGATTGGGTGGCTTGAAACTCATACCAGGCATGTGTGCATACATGCCCAAATTCCTGAGAGAAGAGTGGAGGAGAAGAGACTGTGGTATGCCAGGCCCCCTGAGGGATGATTTCTAACTTTCTGTCTCTCTGTCTCTCCAACAAGCATCTGTGCCCTATAGCAAAAACAAACAAACAACCCCCCCCCAAAAAAAATTAAGTCTTTAGGCAAAAAACAGATTTAGACATTGAAAATTTTTTATGTAAAAACCCCAAAATAAGGGAGAGACCCCTAGTAATGTTTGGATAGACACTGAAAGGATATCCCCATGTGACACAAAACACTATAGTATCCCTCTGCTCACAAAGGAAAGGTACATTTTTTTACTGATAAAGGCTACTGTATTTTTCAGATATAGATATCTGAACTCTTATGTTGTTATGATAAACTAAATAATCCAAAGACAACATTGGCTATAAATATAATTAAAATTTTCAGAATTTAAGGACTCAAAACAGCCAGAAAAAATTTGCAAAACTTAGTAGTCCCTGATAACTTCTCACTTAAAGAGTTTTACATTTGATGTTCATAAAGAGTCAAGAGGGGCCAGCCCATGGCCTGGTGGTTAAAGCGGCTTTGTCCTATGTGGGTTTGAATCCTCCACCTGGCAGCTTAAAAAACACACCAGGTGAGTGTGTGGATGCCCAAAATCCCCAAAAGAGGGAGAGGTGAAGGAGAAGGGATTGTTATGTGACCATTCCCCATTGAAGGTGGGGTTCACAAGTATAAGAGAGAGAAAGAGTGAGTGAGCACACATCTCTCTGGAAAGAAAAAGAAAAGACATTAAATTATACATTAAAAATTCAAGACCATCAACAATAGACTTTAAATAAAAATCAAATAAGCAATAGATCTTTCTTGTTATCAAAAGTAAAACTTCTAAGCATTTGAATAACTTAGTACAACTCACCTTTAATAAGAAAAAAAAAACATAAAATTAACACATACTTGAAATAAAATTATATTGTAAAATGAGTAAAAAGGGTTGAGGCAGTAGATTCCCCACTTGGCCAACCATGGTTCCAGTCCCAGATTGGGTGGCTTGAAACTCATACCAGGCATGTGTGCATACATGCCCAAATTCCTGAGAGAAGAGTGGAGGAGAAGAGACTGTGGTATGCCAGGCCCCCTGAGGGATGATTTCTAACTTTCTGTCTCTCTGTCTCTCCAACAAGCATCTGTGCCCTATAGCAAAAACAAACAAACAACCCCCCCCCAAAAAAAATTAAGTCTTTAGGCAAAAAACAGATTTAGACATTGAAAATTTTTTATGTAAAAACCCCAAAATAAGGGAGAGACCCCTAGTAATGTTTGGATAGACACTGAAAGGATATCCCCATGTGACACAAAACACTATAGTATCCCTCTGCTCACAAAGGAAAGGTACATTTTTTTACTGATAAAGGCTACTGTATTTTTCAGATATAGATATCTGAACTCTTATGTTGTTATGATAAACTAAATAATCCAAAGACAACATTGGCTATAAATATAATTAAAATTTTCAGAATTTAAGGACTCAAAACAGCCAGAAAAAATTTGCAAAACTTAGTAGTCCCTGATAACTTCTCACTTAAAGAGTTTTACATTTGATGTTCATAAAGAGTCAAGAGGGGCCAGCCCATGGCCTGGTGGTTAAAGCGGCTTTGTCCTATGTGGGTTTGAATCCTCCACCTGGCAGCTTAAAAAACACACCAGGTGAGTGTGTGGATGCCCAAAATCCCCAAAAGAGGGAGAGGTGAAGGAGAAGGGATTGTTATGTGACCATTCCCCATTGAAGGTGGGGTTCACAAGTATAAGAGAGAGAAAGAGTGAGTGAGCACACATCTCTCTGGAAAGAAAAAGAAAAGACATTAAATTATACATTAAAAATTCAAGACCATCAACAATAGACTTTAAATAAAAATCAAATAAGCAATAGATCTTTCTTGTTATCAAAAGTAAAACTTCTAAGCATTTGAATAACTTAGTACAACTCACCTTTAATAAGAAAAAAAAAACATAAAATTAACACATACTTGAAATAAAATTATATTGTAAAATGAGTAAAAAGGGGAGGGGTATTCTAGCTGGTTGAAAAAAGGAACAATGAACATTAAAAATCTAAGATTTACACTATAGTGACTATTTTAAGCAGAAAGAGAAAATTCAAAGAATTTTTTCTCAATATCTAAGTACTTAAATTTTAATAAAAACAATAGTTATATCAAAAAAACTATACTTTAGATATGTAGTAAATCTATACCAATCTATGAATATAGAATTCATTTTGCAGACATCAGTTTCATTTATGTATGGCATTTTATATGAGGAACCAAAACTTTACAAAACATTTTAACACATGATAATCGCTTATGATCTTTTATACAGAATGTTTCAACTACTGTGATTTATCTTCCAAAACCATGTAATACGTTTAAAAAAAAAAAAAAAGAAAAAAAAGAAAGAAAGAAATGGAGGAAATTAAGTAATAGCTCTACCAGTTATCCTTATTTCAGAAATGCTTCTTATATGGGGGAAACATGTCCATATAGCTGGCCCTTCATATACCATAAGTTCAGACTAAGTACCAATTGCTACACTGCTACGATTGTAACTTTTGGATGAAAGCTCTTAAATAGTATGTGTAGTAAATTATCTTCTCCTGATCTGCTGTTATACTTGCATATCATAATTTGCCTTGATACCATCCTGATCATGAATATTACGAAGTATCTTGGAATTCAGAATAAAAAGGTAAATTATAAAACTCAAATCTGGAAAATAGCTTAAAATCACATTTGTATAGTCAAAGGGATACTCCAGAAAAAATTTTAAATGTTACCTTAATTGGCTTTGTTTGGTGTGTGCGTGTGTGTTGTGTGTGTATTTTTTATTTATTTATTTATTTATTTATTAGATTCTTGCTATAGGGTGTGTGTATTCACCAGAGAGAGACAGACAGTGATAGAGAAATAGAAAGTGGGAAATCATCCCCCAAAGGGGGATGGCTACATCTCAATTCCTTCTCCATTCTCCTCTTGGCATCTTGGGCATACACACGCATGCACCCAGCATCAGTTTCTAGTCACTGAGTCCCCTGTCTGGTATATTTGAAGAAAATCCACAGTCCATACCATTTGCCTGAGTATTTCTGGTTGGTATTCTTACTAATAATATAACTTAAAGCATTAGATTTTTATCATAGTCCTAAATCTTGAAAGAAAAGTACATACACACATCCTAAACTATGAAGAAACAAAGAAATTAAAGCAGTTTTTTTTTTTTTAAATAAGCCTCAAAATGTGATAAATATTTAGGAATAACATTTTTCAAAGACTAATGGTAAAAAAAAAAGGTTATTATAAAGGTGATAAAAGGAGTAAAGCTAGTAAGAAAAATTGGCTGATGTCATTATAAGAACGAGTTCTCAAGTAAGTAATAGCAGTGACAGATGTTATTTTGTATAGGGACTCCTACAGTGCAAAAACAACCAAAGACTATCCTAATCTATTCATTTATTCATATTTTCTCCAGCCATTCCCTCCATTATTCTCTACCACTCTCAAACTGGACAACTACATATTAGGTTACCATATAAATCATCTAACAAATAATTGCGTGTATACACAGACACGTATTTTTTGCTTTGTTTTGGGTCTTGTTATGTCATGATCCTTCTGCCTTGGCCTCCAGAATAGCTAGGACTATAGGACCACACTCCAGCCTCTAGCTTTTAGGGTAGTCAGAAATGAAACTTACCTCTTATGTGCTCTTAGCCTGCCAAATAGCAGTGTCAACCAATCCACACTTCACAGCTGGACTCAAATAATTATATTTTTTTAAGAAATAAAAAATGACCTTCTTGCCTAGTGCTGTTACCATGGTTTTCAAGCACTTTTTGGAGGCTGTCTAGGTGGCCTACATGTCCTTTGGCCCTGATGCCAGAAAGTTGGCTATGACTGTAGACGGGCTTTGGCTGAAGGACCTTGTACTCAGGTAAGGAGACATGCCATGCCTTTCAAATGCATGCAGCTCACAGACTTCATCCTCAAGTACTCACGCAGTACATGCCAGAAGTATGTCAGACAAGGCTGGCAGAAGGCAGATATCAATACAAAATGGGCAGCCACAAGAAGGACCAAGGAGGAGCCCTTCTTCAAGAGACAGACAGCTCCATGGCTCCTGCAATCTAGCCATTTTGGGAAAAAGGAAGATGTCCCACTGATAACTGGGCCTCCAGCATACAAAACTCGCGTGAACAGCCCTTCTTCAAGAGACAGACAGCTCCATGGCTCCTGCGATCTAGCCATTTTGGGAAAAAGGAAGATGTCCCACTGATAACTGGGCCTCCAGCATACAAAACTCATGTGGTAGGAAGACCACTTACAAGTCTCCTGTCTCTGTATCACTCTTTGTCTCTCTCT